AAGGAGAGGATAAAGTCAAGATTTTCATCAAGTTAGGAAAGGTGGGGCATGCCATATGTGGGTATTTCTTTTGGAGTTTCTTTTTCTGTTTAAGTTTGTTTGTAGAGAGACAAATATAAGGAGACAAGTAGATGGAAACTTGGGGCGTAGAGAGAGAAAATTGTAGAGAAAAGAATATTTGATGGGAGATTGAGTTCTTTGTCTCTAGTTCTTTCAGGCGTGGGTCTCTTGTAATTTTTTCTTTCATTAATTAGTGAAAAAAATCGATTATCTTTGCTTGTGGACGTAGTCACACATTTGTGACAAACCACATAAATTATAGTGTTTTTTTTTCTGTCATTTTTTTTCTGCTTTATTTTTCTTATTTGTTGCTTGCTTGTTGTCAGTTCTATTTTTCTTGTATTTTATTTATAAAAAATCAACCCGTTAATTTTAGAGCAAAAATCAACCCGTTAGGTTAGAGCGCACACACACAGACATTGGGGACATAATTGGTTAAGGAAAATTCTAAGTTCAATCTCAGATAGAAAATAAGGTTATTTCCCTTCTGGAAAAAATATCTAAAGTCTTTACTTTAAGCTAAAGTAATAAAACCATCTCCCTTAAGAAACCATATCCAAGAGATGCCCTATCTAATATTTCATCCATTTTCTTTCCCCCTGGCTTTAAGGAGCATTGATTATTATTTTTGGTAGATCAGTGGGGGAATAAAAAAAAAATTAGTAGATTAGTGGGGAAATAAAGGCCTCTTCCCATTTTTAAAAATAATTAACGCTTAGTTAAAAGTTAAAGTGGTGCTACCACCACAACCTCAACCCCATTCACGTATTGATGTTTTTAGATACAAATATTTCACTCTAAATAATCTACCTAAAATTGTTTTTTTCGAATATAGATATCTCTTAGTAAACCACCATATCCAATATTGGATTTCTCGATGATTTCGAATCCCGATATTTCGGGTTAAGTTTTCCACCACATAATGATATTACAACTATCAATATCTTTCGAACAGACAGTTTTACTAATGATTGCTTTAGTTTTTCCATATTGGTAAAAATTAGTTGAAGAGGTGAAAATTGTACAAACGACAGTCCAAAAATTATTTGCTCCTTTGGAAGCATATCCTCTATTCACTCTTTCATGTAAAACTTTTGTTGGAGTGCCTCTAAGACCCCAAAGTTTTGGAGATGTAGCCTCTTGTACCTAGTGATCAACTTCAAAAAAGAAAAAGGGGGAAAAAGAAGGGGAAAAAGAAGCAAACACAGTCACTATGTAGTTAAAAAAAAATAGCATCCTAAGATCAATCTAGGTCATCCAATTTTGATGGTCAGACCTAGGTGTTCAGGAACTAAAAATTCAAATACTTTTTTTTGAAAATAATCATTTGGTATTTCTAAAATGGATCCCAAAATTTCAACTCGGAACAATCCTTTACCTACACCTTTTTTCGGCAAGAGTGCAAGTGTACAGTGTCCTCCCGTGGGAGCACACTATTCACATCCTAACCCTATCAATTAAATGGAAAGCTTTTATAAATGTACATGTAATTACCTCAAACCACACAAAGGAAATAAGGGCACAAGTGGGGGAAGGGCCACTTGCCCTGACACTTAAGAGAGGTGCTAGGACACTGTTTGAAAAATAATACCAAGCTGCGTGGATAAGTGAACTAAGAGAAACTCTTTTAAAAAATAGGAAATTATTTAAATACTTATAAGAGATGAACTAATAGCATTTGCCCCATATATTTTGATTTGATTTCAAAATTTCTCGTAAATCGACACGTGATAGTGAATTGGAATGGTTGCAATAGGGTAAAGTGTTAAATAACCCCACTTATGGATCTTTTTGACAAGTTTCCCTTTAAAAATTGACTAAAACTGTTTTGGGCAGTACTGATACAAGCATAAATACCCTTATTTTGGCCATGTTCGCTCCAGTTTTGCCCTTTTCTAGTTTTCCATAAAAAAATAATTGTGCCCAGATACTAATGGGCCACAACCTAGTTTTGAGAACATGGGAAGAAACACTCTTAACATATCATCAAAACCAATGTTTAAAACCCGGTAATTTCCCGTTTGGATTACTGATTTGGACAGGAATCGATCAAAGATAAAGTGGTTTTAAGATCATACACGCTCTTGTTTGGTTCCCTAAAACTCTCCCTTTCATATATGGGTGCCGTTTGTGTAGAGCTTAGGCTCTAAACAATTAAATTAGAGCCTACCTTCAAACAGTGTCAAGAAATGTGGTTTCAATATTGAAAATCTTCGTGATAGCTTTAAAATATATTTTCATATTTATCTAAAAAGTTTAAAGCGTTAAAAGTAGTATAGATCAACATATCTATGAAAATCTTGAAAATTGATGGTCTAAAAATGCGTTACAGAAATACTCTATTTCTAAAACTTGCAGTCCATTTTTTTTTCATGTCCATACATCTTGATATCGAGACGATCAATTTGAATATATTTGGGCATCAAAACAACCTCTTTTAGTGAAATTTTTGATATAGATTCAAATTTGATTATTTAGAGCCTTGGCTCTACATAAACTTTTCCTTTTATATATATATATATATATATTTAAATTTTTATTTTATTTTATTTTATTTATTTTTAACTTTTGCTACCCAATCACTCATCCAATGATTTAACACAGATGCATGGGTGAATAATCCCCCGCCCCCCCGCCATCATCCACGTCATAAGGACTCGAAAAGAAAAGCCCAACAAAATGGGGTGGTATGAGCCCAAAAGCCATCCGTACGGGCTGACGTATAAATGGGCTGATGCCAATTAATTAATGAACGCCCCAACCTATGAAATGCCCCCATTATTGGGCTTTGGAAATCCAATCTCAACGATCCACCCCATAAAGACACAAGAGTAGAGAGAGAAAGTGATGAGAGAGAATGAGGAGTCAAATAATTGGTGTGGACGAGTCAAAAGCAAAGCTGTTATTTGACAACTGTATGTACATATAAAAATTGTTCACGTGGGGGAGATCTCAGGTTCTTCAACTCATTCAAATTCAATTTGGATTCAATTCCACTCAAAATCCTTAGCCCTATGCTCCCACTTGTCCATTCGGACTGGTTGGTCCAGCCGTAGAAAAAGTAGGGCATGGGCCACAAACTGCAGCTTGAGGGCTGGGTTAGGGCCCGTGCTAGTCTATTTTGGCCATGCCGGCCCCATTGCCACCCTTATACACCTCTCTCTTTCTTTTTAATTGTTTTTTTTTTTTTGAATGTTAACTATAATTTCATTGAGGAAATGAAAAATTGTAAAAAAGAGCAGCAAAAGAAAAAAAAATGGAGAGATGGGGAAAGGATGGAGGATTAGGATGAAGCTAGCTTAGTAAGAGTATCAACATCTCTATTTCTTTTTCAGTTAATTTGGTGAAATTGGACTTCTTTACTAAAGATGGCTAAAGTAATTTCGTCTATAATGGAGGTCTATTGCCAGGGATCATATGAGGTTGGGAGCACTACTTGCTATATATTAACGGAATCAGCCTCAATAATGATTCGATTGTGCCTTAAGTTCTGTCTCATTGATATCATAAAAGCTGCCCATTGTAGTTAAAAATAACATTCCTAAGAACGTTCCTTAGAATGCTATCAAAATGGCTTTCTGGACCTTACGCTCTACCATCAAAATTCAACTTGAGCCATTCCTCAAGGGGTATCGTTTTCTGAGTGTTCACTTTAGTTTTTTATTATTTCTGGGTAAAAACTCGACTCTTTGATTTTGTTGAAGTCCAATAGCAATTCCTACCAATATATGAGTCACTACTTCGTTTTACTTCAATATTCCACTTCCTTCCTCCACTCTCTCTCTCTCTCTCTATCTCTATCTCTAGCACACGAAAATGAGCACTCTAGTTTAAAGAACCCAACTTCTTATCAATTAATTAGTAAAAGACTATGATAATGATGATTTTCTATTGTATTCAATTGACAATATGCCCTAAAAGTTGTTCGAGCCCTGCTCAACTTGAATTGAACACCTAACAATTCGAGGACAATTCAATTTTAAACCGCCAAATCAAAACCATTCCCTGTCCATTAGCTGCTACTGTATCTTTTATAAGTTTCAATCAATGTTTCAAAATCCAACAGAGCGGTGGATTGTTCATCTCACATATCTATGTCCGACACTGAAACAACGATCTTCATCAGTCTGAATTAGTGATCTAAAACTATAAAAGAATATGTAATAAAAAGAAGAGGTCATGACAGGGGGATTTGAAAAAATATCAGCACAAATACATACAATTTGAAAAAATCTTGGATATAGTCTATTTCTTCTCTCTCCTATCTCTAACGTTGTGATCGGAGAGGATGTGACCTGCCAGGGTGCCCCCGAGAGTGGGGGTTCCCACGTGACCCTCCCACTCACATTCTCACTCTGTATCTATGTCAAATCAACATCTCACTCCTACTCTATAACCCCCCCCCCCCGCCCTCAATCTTATTTTTATTTTTATTTTTATCCCATAGAGCTGAGGAGCTCAAGGCAAAGGTCTCGGGAGTAAACATGCAGCAAAATTAGGAAACAAACCTCTCTCACTGTTGACTTTATACAATCATTCATTAAGAAATGCTTTTCTTTTTATCCAGATAATGACGAATCCCAATCTTTACTTTTCGATTTTTTAAATTCTAAGTGAGGAATCCTCTTCACCAAGGCTGGCAACAGGCTCCTCACACTCGTAGAGCCCGGCCTGGCCTATAGCGGGAGATAGCCAAAAGAAAAATAAATAAAAAGTTAGATCAAACTCCAACATTGGCCCTAACTCGGTTTTTAGGGTACAGTTTGTGGTCCAAATCCTATTTTTTGATTTTTTGAGATCCGGCCTAAGCTTTCTTTTTCACCTGAATTTAAAAGCAGTTTTGAAAAATAATAATAATAAAGTGTAAAATGAGAGTATAGGGAGGAAAATAGGGTAAGAGTATTGAGTGAGATGCGTATGATTAGTGAATAATGAGAAAAAGTAGAAGTTAGGGCGGGTAGGGGGCCTAGGTTTTGTAGAGTTGAGGAAAAGGAGAGCCTCGTCTTTATTCGAGATTTGACTGCCTCCATATATCTCAACAATTGAGTCCTCGCTCCACTCTTCAATTTCATGCTCGCTCTCTCTCTCTCTCTCTCTCTCATTCATCCTCTCCTTGTCCATCCGCCCTCTAGGCATGGGCTCCGAAATGGTGGTGGAGAAGCCCAAAGTTGTGGTGGTGGGAGCCGGAATGGCTGGCCTCACTGCCGCCAATCATCTCCATCGCGCCGCCGGTTCTGCTGGGCTCCTCCACCTGACTGTCGTCGAAGGTGGCGCACGGATTGGTGGTCGGATCCGATCCACTGAATTTGAAGGCGAGCGCGTCGAGCTTGGAGCCACTTGGATCCATGGCATCGGCGGCAGCCCCATCTATGACATCGCCAAAAGGATTGGCTCCCTCTGTTCTGACCAGCCCTCGGAGAGAATGGATGGGTTCCCGGAAAACGCAGTGACCCTAGCTGAAGGGGGGCGTGCCCCAAATGTCTCCACCATCGACAGGATCGCCTCACTGTACCGCAATCTCATGGATTTTGCCAAAGGTAGGCCTCTGCTTGATGCCGATGCAGAGGCCCTCGCGAAGGAAGCGGCGCGTGGTGGAACCCGAGGCATTGGAGCCTTTCTGCGTCGAGGGCTCAGCCTCCATCGAGGTACAGTGGCAGTCGGCGGGGATGAGATGTTAGATGCATTGTTTGCGATGCACGAGTGCACTGAGAGAACATACACATCTGCAGATGACTTGGGTGAGCTCGACCTCGCGGCGGAGCGGGAGTACCGTGAGTTCCCAGACGAGGAGATAACCATAGCCAAAGGCTACCGGACTGTCATTGATCACCTCGCATCACAGCTGCCGCCGGGGTGCATCCAGCTCCAGAAGCAAGTGGTATGCATCGAGTGGTCGCGCAGCAGCCGGCATGGCATGCCGGTGACTGTTTACTTTGGGGATGGGAGCAGCATGGACGCCCACCATGTGATCGTCACGGTCTCGCTCGGGGTGCTCAAGGAGGCGGTGCAGGGAGGCATGTTCAGGCCTCCATTGCCGCCTTTCAAAGAGTCAGCCGTTTCGAAGCTCGGGTTCGGCGTAGTTAACAAGCTGTTCTTAAGGGTTGAGCCCTCTGCTTGTCTTGACTCACTGAAACCAGCTTTCCCTTTCCTGCAAATGGCTTTCATGCAAGGGTTGCAGACGGAAGACGAGGAGGTGCCATGGTGGATGAAAAAAACAGCCTCTCTTTGCCCCATTCACAAAACCTCTAGAAATGTTCTCGCGTGGTTTGCCGGCAAAGAAGCCATGGAATTAGAGTCCCTCTCGGACGAAGAAGTCATAAACGGGGTCTGCAAAACCCTCTCGAAGCTCGGTTTCGAGGTGAATTCCAACGCCAAAAGCTTCGAGATCAAGAGTGAATTCGGTCACTTGAGTGGAAAAATGGCGAAAGTGCTGAAGAGTGGGTGGGGTTCGGATCCTCTGTTCCGGGGATCGTACAGCTTCGTGAAGGTGGGCTCGAGCGGAGCAGAGATGGACGCCATGGCCGAGCCGTTGCCGAGGCCAGAGGAGAGCGATGAGAGGCCATTGCAGCTGCTCTTTGCAGGGGAGGCCACGCACAGGACGCACTACTCCACCACGCACGGTGCTTACTTCAGTGGCTTGAGGGAAGCAGACCGCCTCATCAAGCATTATGGCTGGGGCCTTCACCCACCACCCTCTTCTTAGGCCTCTCTCTCTCTCTTTACTTTCTCTCTCATAAACCATTTTTGCTGGTTTCTCTGCAATTTCTTTCTATTTTTGGCTTTCGTGTTCTTCTTGTTTACTTCAATCTTTAAAGCTTACAGCAAACCAAGGGTTAGAGGTCCCATGGCCCCGCTCTCTCTCACTCTCTCTCTCATTTTCTCTCACCACGTAGCCGTCTTTCTCTCTCTACTTTTATAATCTCTGTCGATACGTCTTTGTTGCTGTATAATCCAACTATGAGTGGACCCGGTCTTTTGTGGTGGCCCACTTTGTCGGGGGACCCACCGGTATTGCCTATTGAAGGAGGTGCAGTGATTCGTCTCATCACCGATGCTCTCTGTCCTATAATTACGTGGCCCACTCCGTATACTATGCTCCTTCCGGACCATTTACTCCCTTACGAAGGTCTTTTTTTTTTTTTTTTGCAATTTGAACTTTTGGAACTCCTTGGGAATCACTAGATGATTACTTAAATGAAAAAGTTCATATAAGGGTCAGGTTCTAAACAATCAAAGTACCGTGCCCTTAATAAATTCATTAGAAAAAGTTGCTCCGATACTGAAAAACCCTCAATTTGATCATCTCGACCCCAAGACGTATAGACATGAGAAAAAGTAGATTTCAAAGTCTTGAAAATAGTGTATGTGATGTATTATCTAGATCGTTAATTTTCAAGATTTTCAAATATTTATAGATCTACTTAATCTACATTATCTTTTAATATTTAAATTTTATAATGAGATATGAAAATAACTTTTGAGGCCATCCCAAAGAATTTTGATACTAAAACAGCATGTTTTGGCATTATTTGAAGGTACATCTTATTTTGATTGGTTAGAACCTGGTATTATGCAAACTACACCTTTATTTAAAAAATAAAACAAAATTTTAATTTTCTAACACTTAGGCCTTACCATGTGAAAATTAGATGGTCTCTATTCAATCTTTGTGGAATTTGTTTTTTTATTGAAGTTCATCTTTAGGTCGAAGAGGTCGCATCCGCAAATTTTGGGGTTCTAAAATTAATTTTAAGTAGGGTTTTACCCGAGGGAATAAATGTACATTCTACTCCAACTGGTGTAGAAGATTTTGTTAATGTTTAGTTAATCCCGGAATTGTTTGAACTCCGATTAAAACAAAATTATCAATGAGAAGTATAATGGAAAAAATACAATCAAGACACTTGTATAAAAAATGAGTGTTTTGAATTAAGAGTTTCTAGAAAATTTGTCATTAGATCTCACTAACTCATGCCTAATTTTGGTCTATCTTGCATGGGGAAGTAATTTCTTTTGAAATTTATCATTTCATTGACATGCTGTAGCAAACTTAACGTGGCCTTGCTCTAATAAGCTGGAGAGCAAGCAAAAGGTATGGAAGCCTTTGCCAAGTACGGATGGTGTTGATGGTTATAGCGGCTAGATAGGTAACTCTTATGAATTAGATATTGGTTTTTATTTCACGGACGTAGGTACCATTGTCAAATCACATGTATGTCTTATTGATTTTTCTCTCTCTCATCACTATTCTTGTTATTCCAAATTCTACATGGTATCAGAGTGGGCCGATCTAATAATAGAGATCCAAGCCCTTAGTCTTTAAATGGTGACTTTGAAAAAGAAGTTCATATGAGTCACCCTCCAGGCCACCCTAAAGAAAGGGAGAAAGTTCTTATATGCAAATTAAAGGAGGCCTTATATTGCCTTAAACGATCACGCCGTAGATTACATATGCCAAACTCTAAGCCTTGATGGGTGTTGGGTTTTTTAGAAGTTCAGTTAATTCTTTGACGCTCATAAAAATGAGAACTTCAGGAACATCAATTGTACTTATTCATGTTGATGACATTATCATTATAGGTGTTGATAAAGAAAAAATCAATAAGCTTAAAAATTATCTTCATAAGAAATTTGACATCAAGGATCTAGGTCAACTAAAGTATTTTCTTGACATTAAAGTAGCACATTAAAAAATGGACTCTTCATTTGTTAAAATAAATATCTTAGAGTTGTTGAAAGAAACTGAGAAAATAGGAATCAAACCCATTGACACCCTTGTTGATTTGAATTGCAAACTCAACTTAACAAATGGGAAACCTAATGAAAATGTGGGTCACTTTTAAAGATGTGTGTAGATTGATTTATTTGACTGTGAATCATATATAATGTATGCAGTTAGCCTTGTTAGCCAATTTCTGCTTACTCCTCGATCATGTCATATGGAGATTGGTAATATGATTCTCAGATATCTTAAATCGTCACTCGACAAATTTATTTGGATAAAACATAATGGTCACACTAATACTATTGGTTATTTTAATGCTGACTGGGGAGGTAATCCAGTTAACAAGAGGTCCACTACTGGCTATTGTATATTAATCAGAGGTAACTTAATTACTTGGAAAAGGAAAAAACAAACTGTAGTCACTCGATCAAGTGCAGAGACCGAATATAGTGCTATGGTTGTAACTACAAGTAAATTGATATTGTTGAAATCACTAATTTGAGATATGGGGTTCCAAATGGCCAATCCAATTGAAATGTTATATGATAATCAAAGAGCTAAGTGTATAACATACAATCTAGTCTTTCATGAAATGAAAAAGCATATAGAAGTTGATTATCACTTTGTGAGATATTCAGTAAAAAAGTATGAATACTCCTTATATTTGAAGTAAAGACCAACTTGTAAATATGTTTATCAAAGCTATTGCAAAGACAAAACTCAATCGGATACTATCTAAGTTGGGCTTCATGGATATGTACACTCCAACTTGGGGGGGAGTGTGACAGTTATAACAGCAAGAAATTTTTGGGTTTCTATCTTGTGGAATTAAAAGATATTGAGATTCCTATTTTATAGGATTACATTTTTAATGATATATATTTCGAAAACAAAAGTGTAACTCTATAATTCTCTAGTAAACCGAGTAATCTCTATGAATGAGATACTGGTGAACGTTATGTAGACATCTCTCTCATCACCATTTCTGTTATTGCAAATTCTACATGTGGCAATGACTCAAGCATAGATAGGCTTGGGCCTTGCCAACCTTGCCCTAGGGCCGGCCCATGACCCCATAGGCCTTGCCAAAAACTAAATAAAAGAAAAAGAAAAAAAATAAAAAAAAAGACTTGGGTCGGCACTGACCTAGCCCGGCCTTCTGGCCACCGTTTCTAGCTCATCCCCTATTTTTTAGGCCCGGGGCCGTCCATCAGGCCCATTGCCGGTCCTATTACCAAGTAAGTGCATGGAGTAACCCGAATTAGAAGATTATTTCAACCAGCTCTAAAAATGGAGTGAAATGTGAAGTGAAAACCCATACAAAAGGCATGGTTCGAAAATTGAAAAAGAAAAGACGAAATCACACATGGAAAAGTAGAGAGAAGAGAAGCAAAAGGAAGACACAATCATAGTGAAGTGGCACATAATAAAACAAAGAACGAATCTTGAGGGAGGTGTATAATAATATTTGCTTTATGCAGTGGTTTCTTTCCTCCTCACCAAGGATTCCACATTCTTGTGTCGGTTTGTAGTCTCGATGATAGCCACTAACGTCAAAAGCCTTTCTTTCGACCCCTCAAATCAAAAAGATGACTTCGACCTCTCTCTAGTAAGCCAAAACATTATGTCCCGTTCGCTCCCTCGGTTAAAACCCCACCTAAAGGACTGTTGCCGGGGAGGCCGCCTGGGTCAGGGGCCCGGTCGGCCCGATCTTAAAAAAAAATTGGGCTTGGGCCACAAAATGTGGTCTGACGACTAGAGCTCGGTGTGACCTTTTGTTTTGGCCCAGGGGTGGCTTAGGGCCAAGCCTTGGCTCGTAGCCGCCCTTGGTGTGGACGGTTTGCTCCAGCAGGATTCAACTTTAAATTTACTCAACAAAAGAGTCGATATTAAAAGCTATACACCTATTCTTTTGCTATGAAATTTATGATTCATTTTATTTTAAGCTTATTATTTTATTTTATTTTTGAGTTTTTAGGCACTTACTTACCAAAAAATTGGCGAACTCTACTCAGCCTTAAGACTTTCTTTACGAATGTATAAATTGTATTATCTTAAATTTTTTTTTTTTTAGGTTAATCGAAGTTGAGTAATTACATCTCAATACAGGTTTTACTTGATGGAGTGAATGGATGATAACGTAAAATGATAGTCATTTGACATTTTAGGACCCTTTTGGGATGAAAAGAAAAAATCATATCCATGCATAAAAAAAATGGTGCGGTTTGTATAGAGCAGAGGCTCTAAACAATCAAAGTAAAGCCTATCTTCAAATACTGTTGAGAAATATGGTTTCAATACTGGAAATCTTTGTGATAGCCTTAAAATACATTTTCATCTTTAATGATAAAATGTACAGCTTCAAAAAAAATGTAGATCGAGCAGATTTATGAAAATATTGAAAATTTACGGTCCAAAAATACGTTACAAGATGCACTATTTTAGATACTTGAAATCCATTTTTTTCTTCATGTCCATGCATCTTGATATTGAGATGATCAATTTGAGGATATTTAAGCATCAAAACAATCTCTTCTAGTGAAATTTTTGAGATGGGTTCTAATTTGATTGTTTAAAACCTCGGCTCTATATAAACTTTTTTCTTAAAAGAATAATATCCCAAGATTGAACAAAGATCACCTCATTTTTTAATAGTTAGGTCTTAACGTTTAGTAATTGAAGATTCTTTTTTTAATACTCATTTGGTGATTCGATCACGAAATTTTAGTTCAAAAAAGAGATCCTCTTGATTAGGTCCTTTAGTCGAGTAAGATTGGCATGGCAAGAGCACACTTGAGAGAATAACACATGGAGTATGTGTATAAAATTTTATCAATAATGTAGACGATCCCGTACATAACAACCATCTAGAATTATTGATATATATATAGTTGTAATATATATATATATATATATATGTATATATATAGGTGTGGTTTCTATAAGGTTGCAACCTTAAGCAATCCAATTAAGGCGCACCTTAAAAAATTTTCATAACATGTAATTTTGTTATAAAAAATTCTTAGTATTATCTTAAAATTTATTTTCATACCTAATTAGAAAATTTTAAATTCTAAAAATGGTTAAAATTAAGTAGATCTATAAATATATGAAAATCTTGAAAATGGACG